AGCCTGTAATCCTGCGCTTTGGGGGGCTGAGGTGAGTGGATTGCCTGAGCCCGCGAGTTCAAGACCTGCCTGGGCAACTTGGTGAGACCTCATCTCTACAATAAATCAAAAAATTAGCTGGGTGTGGTAGCGAGCGCCTGTAGTTCCAGCTACTTGGAAGGCTGAGGCGGCAGGATCGCTGGAGCCCAGTAGGTCAAGGCTGCGGCGGCCAGGAGCGACCACTGCACTCCAGTCTGGGTGACAGAGTGAGACTCCAACTAAAAAAAAAAAAAAAAAAAAAATTAAAAATAACTGGGTTCTTATGATGCAGAAATTTTCAAGGATTTGTATTTATTTTTTATGAGAAACCCTAATTTAAGAAATAATTCTTTATGAGTCTATTATTAAATGAACTAATATAATTGTTTTTTGTTTTTGTGAATTATAAAATAAAAGGAAAAGTTTTAAAACATATCTCTTACTAAACACCTAAGCTTGACTATCCTTTTAATATGCATCTTATTATGTGTGAAAATTATGTTTATTAATTTTCCCAATATTAAAAATGGACATGCTTCTAAAGCTTAAAACCTTCAAAATGTGGAAAAGAGAAATAATTATAATCCCACCTTTCCAACACAATCAGTTAAACATTTTGCATAGTGTGTTTTCTTTCAGCTTTAAAACAACTTTTTAAACTCAAGTGGCTCTTTAAGCTTTTATGAAGTTCTTGGAAGTATTACTTCTTGAAACTAAAATGTCTACAATAGTTCACCTTTAAAGTTTTGTGTTCATCATTTTATCTCCACCACTTAATTCAATGTCATAACCATAGTGGAACAAACTATTTTTTAGATTTGGTGGGATAAATTTACTCAAGTGAAACAAATGTTCAGGTTGCATCCACAGAGTATATAGCCTGCAAGAAAATGAATTCTGTAAACAACTCAAATGAGTAAGAAGCAAATTCTGCTAGAGTTCCCAGGAAAGAATGCAACCTATTGACATTTTAGCCTGTTGAGCAATGTGTTGGACTTCTGACCTACTGTATTATAAGATAATAAATTTGTATTGTTTTAAGTTGTTAAATGAGTGGAAATTTGTTATGGTAGCACTAGAAAACTAATGCAGTTGCTTTTGATATTACATGCTAATTGCTGTCTGATTATGAGTACAGAACAGAGAACTGCGAATGCTTCATTCTTAGTGACATCAGTCTAACTTCTTTTGATCTTTAAACATTTGTCTATGACATTATCTTATGATGGACTATGCTTTCTTGAAATTTTCTGAATCCATTCTTAAGATAGCACTTTTTTCTACATGCTTTTCCATGCCAATTCTTTTTTTTTTTTTTTGAGTTGGAGTCTCACTCTGTCGCCCAGACTAGAGTGCAGTGGCCACTCCCGGCCACTGCAGCCTTAACCTGCTGGGCTCTGGCAATCCTTCCGCCTCAGCCTTCCAAGTAGCCGGAATTACAGGCATGCGCTACCACGCCTGGCTGATTTTTTTGATTTATTGTAGAGATGAGGTCTCGCTGCCCAGGCGGGTCTCGAACCCGCAGGTTCAGGCAATCCACTCACCTCAGCCTCCCAAAGGCACGGGATTATAGGCTGAGCCACCGAGCCCGGCTTTCATGCCAATTCTTAAGTGCCCTATCTTGTCCATGTTGCTAGAAAGTCAATAACTACACTAGTCTTGACTTTTTTTGATCTTAGAGATGTCTATTGTCTTCTTCCTGTTCTTACACTCTTTTTAGAGTGCTTGCTCCATAGCACTCTATGGTGACTATGTGGACACAGGGTAATTTAAATCAGTGGTTGTGTGGATATAAGGTACTCAGTGTCTATGTGACTGTGTGGACACAGGGCAATTCAAATTTTTGCTAATGTATTCTTCTAACAAATAAGCAATCAGAAGTGTACATCTTACTCCAATTGGACAATCATATGCTCTTTCCAGAAAGTTGGATTTGGAACTCATATAATTTTAAATATGTATTCACTGAAGTTTAATACACTTCAAAATATTCAAAGAAATTCAACATATATATTTCTAGATACTGAACTTGCATCTGTAATTGAGTATGTACATATATTTGAGGATGAATGAAACAGCCATTATTGTCTATGTGCACAGAAAAGTGGAAAAAACAGTACACAGAGAGAAACACAAGTCAGGTATGTATCAATTTCCCATGGCTGCAGTAACAAATTACCACCATCTTGGTGGCTTAAAACAACTCTAATGTATTTTTTCATAGTTCTGGAGACCAGAAGTCCTAAATCAGTATCACTATGTTGAAACCTAGGTATTGGCAGAACCATGCTAAAGGTTTTAGGGGAGAATCAGTTTCCTTGCCTTTTCTAGCTTTTACAGGTGCATTTAGTTTCCTAATCTGTAAAGTGAGGTGAGTTGTGCTTTAATTTTTGGTGTTGTTGGCTTAACCAAAAGGTTCATGGTCCTTTCCTTTATTTTCAAAGCCAGAAAAGCAGCATCTTCAAATCTCTCTGCTTTTTATTGACCCATGGCCTTTTTAAAAAATAAACTTTTCTTTTGTCTGCCTCTTATGATGACACTTGTAATTACATGTAGGGCCTGATAGTGTTTGTAGGGGGATAGGAGAGGAGGTTGTAGTTAAAACAATTCATCATATAAACCTTGCAAACGAAGCACAGAGTTGCAATGGCCCAAAAGCTAACACTGTTCTCTAACAGTGTTCTGTTACTAATTACTTTTACTGCCAACACCTGCTTCCCCCCGTCCCCTCCCCCAATCCCAAAGCTATGTGACTGATAATAGCCTGGTATTGACTGTCCGTGTTTGCTTTCCTAAGGCTGCATTTCAAAGACAAGTGTGACTGGTTTAATAAGGACGTCTGCACTCCAAGGCCATGAGAACGGCCTTCAACAACACCGACGACTACCTTTGAAGGCCCGACAACTCAAACTCCCAAAACCACTTCTTGCCTCCCAATACGAAACTCCCTAAAACAGCTTCTCAAAACCAAATAAGCCAAGACTAGGGTTTTATAAGTGGCCTGCAAAAGAACAAAGGCTGCTGGTTTCTCTCTACAGAGCCAGCCACCCCCACTCTTCTTTTCTTTAATAAACTTTTAATCACCAGCGGGTCTCTTCCTTCTCAGCATATGTCACAGGGTCTAACTAGATAATCCAGGATAAGCCCTCTGTCTCATGGGCTTTAATGTAATCACATCTGCAAAATACTTTTTCCATAAAATAGTGTTCATAGGTTCTAGAGATTAGAACCTGGATATCTTATAGGCTATTATTTAACCTACCACAAGGTATATAAGGATAAATAATACAGACACATATGACTTTAGAGAGATCTAGAATTAGAGATTTAGAGGGAAGAGAATATTATCTTGGTTCCTTAAGGATTTCTAGTGTCTTCCTTTTTTTTTTTTTTTTTTTTATCCTTTACCAAGTTTTGCTTTTTCTCATCTTCTGGAGTTCCATATGACACTCTTGGTTATTAGGATAAATAATTATTTTGCTTAAGCAAGATTGATCACTTTTCTGTTTCTTTTTCCCCAACCAAACAAATGCTAAGAAACGTATTCTTCCTTATATGATGACCACATTGACCAGCATAGACTCATAAGCAGTTATGGCTTCTGCATTAATGGCTTTCTTTTCAAACCAATTACCTCTCAGTCTATTCTGGCTACATCCCACTCCTGGTCTGTCTTGATCTTCACATCTGTCTGTTAGGCAGAAAATGCTTCTGGTTTAAGAAAAAGTGGATAGCTTCTGGGCTAGCTTTGGTTTACCCTCTCAACTTTCCCTTCCACACTTTATGAGATAGTGAGGTGCTAAAGGGGTCTGGAGATCACATCTTCTAAATTTCTGCCACTCACAAATGCTGTAGTCTGGGGGCAAGATGCTTAACCTCTGTGAACCTCGGTTTTCTTATCTGTAAAACAAAGATAATATCAGTTTCTTAAGGTTTTTAAGAGAATTAAATGAAATATATATTTAAGTATACTGTACAAACCCTGGACTATGTTATTTTTCTTTCTTGTAGTTGTTATCATTATATACATTTAGCTGTCAAGAATGAATCCAATCATCTTGCAACATCTGAAAAGACCCAGCAAAAAGTGTTTTTTAAAAATTATATGTGGGCCGGGTTCAGTGGCTCAGTCTGTAATCCCAGCACTTTGGGAGGCTGAGGCAAGTGGATTGTATGAACCTGTGGGTTCGAGACCCAACTGGGTAAACTGGCGAGACCCCATATCTACAATAAATCAAAAATTGGCCGGATATGGTAGCACACACCTGTAGTTCCAGCTACTTGGAAGGCTGAGGCGGAAGGATCGCTGGAGCCCAGCAGGTCAAGGCTGCGGTGGCCCGGAGCATACCATTGCACTCCAGTCTGGGCGACAGAGTGAGACTCCAACTCAAAAAAAAAAAAACAAATTATATGTGTTGTTATCTGGTCATGGTGGTATGCGCCTGTAGTTTCAGCTACTTGGAAGGCTGAGATGGAAGGATCGCCTGAGCCCAGCAGGTTGAGGCTGTGGTGGCCAGGAGCATGCCATTGCCCTCCAGCTTGGGCGACAGTGAGACTCCGACTCAAAAAAAAAAAAAGAAAAATATTAAAAAATTATATGTGGTCTATTTCTTAGACTATTTGGTTAAATCTGTCACTTTACAGATGACAAAACTAAGATAAGCTAAGTGTCACCTGATGAAAAAAAGTAATAAAGACAGGTTTAAAATTCAGGTCTTCTGATTTCAGTTCAGTATTTTTCATTAATCCATGATATTGTATGTTTTCAGTGGTTCTTCAATCTTAAAGTTCAGAAAATGTTATTTTCTCTTTGACTGAATTATCTCCTCTAAATCTTGACTATAATACTTTGCCTCTGATGTGACACCAAGCCTATTTATACCTTCCCACATTTTTTTGATTTTCTGGTGTCTAAACATGTCTCTACACTGAGTCAAAGAGTTGAAAATAATCCTTCTGAGCAAATAAACTTTGTTAATGTTTCAAGTTCTCCTGTGCAATAAGGACATAATTTTGCTGATTGCTTCTTTCAAGACTTCCTTTACTTTTTCATTTCTTAGACTATAAAAGAAGGGATTCAAAAGAGGGGTCACCATTGTAGTGAGGACTGCTGTCACTTTGTCAAAATCCAGCAAATGACCCTGGCTGGGTCTAACATACATGAAGATGTTGCTCCCATAGGCAATGGAAACGACGGTGATATGAGAAGCACAGGTGGAAAAGGCCTTCTGACGTCCTTGGGCTGAGGGGATGTGCAGGATAGTAGAAATAATGAAGGTGTAGGATACGGTGGTGAGCACCAGCGAGGTCAGGAGGATGAGGGAAGATAAGAGGAAGTTTATCATCTCGATGAAATGAGTGTCTCTGCAGGCCACCTGCAGCAGAGGGGCGATGTCACAGAAGAAGTGACTAATTTCCTTATAACAGAAAGGCAGTCTTGACACCACAATAGTTGGGCACAAAACAGACAGAAAGGCTCCAATCCAGCAGCCCAAAACCATCAGGAGGCAGGCTCTGCTGTTCATGACGGTGGTGTAGCGCAGGGGGTTACAGATGGCCACATAGCGGTCAAAGGACATCACTGCCAAGAGAATAAACTCCACTGTTCCCAGAAAGAAGTAGAAATATATTTGGGTGATGCAACCAGCAAAGGATATGGTCTTTCTGTCCTCTAGGAGACAGTCCAACAACTTTGGGGTAACCGAAGTGGTGTATAAAATGTCCAAAAATGACAAGTTACTGAGAAAAAAGTACATCGGGGTTTGGAGGCGATAATCAGCCCATATTAGCGAAATAATGGCAATATTTACTGTTAAAGTAAGCATGTAGGTAAACAAGAGAACCACAAAGAGGGAAATCTGAAGTGTCTGAAGAACAGGAAAGGCAGTCAGGGTAAATTCAGTCACTGAGGTTTGATTTTGTATATCCATTGTAGGCAGTGCTTACTGAGCAACACATTTCTGGAAAAACAAATAAAGTATAGAGATGAAAACTAGCTTAAGGAAGCTTTCAATTCCCAATGTCTGTGGTAAGAGTGAAATAGAAAAGGTTTTGTGTAAGGAGTCAAGCATAATTCTTACATATTCTGTCTCTGACTCTAATAAATGTGGGCCCCTGGATAAATAACATTACTTTTAACTTCAGTGTTCTCATTTTTTTTGATTTTTTTTTTTTTAGTTGAAGTCTTGCTCTGTCACCCACTCTTCTTGGAAAAGTGACTGTCAGTCGCTGTCTTAATTTTTAGTATTCTTAAAAATTTATTCATCTTTTTAGTCAACAAATAGTTTTTTAGCATATGCCATACATCATGAAGTGCTTCAGGTGCTGGGGCTATATCAATAAAAAACAAAAAATAAAAAGCAGAAACAAAACAAAAACATCAGCAATAACTGCACCCCCCCTTGAAGCTTACAATATAGTTAAGGGAGACAGAGAGTTAAATAACTACATAAAATAAATGCTGCTCTCTTGATTGTGATAAGTATCAGAGCCAAGACTTTTTTCTAAAAACAGGTTTCTACCTGAAAAGTTGGCTTGTGACTTTTTTTTTTTTTTTTTGAGTTGGAGTCTGACTCTGTTGCCCAGACTGGAGTGCAGTGGCCGCTCCCGGCCACCGCAGCCTCGACCTGCTGGGCTCTGGTGATCCTTCCGCCTCAGCCTTCCAGTAGCTGGAACTCCAGGAGTGTGCTACCACGCCCGGCTAATTTTTTGATTTATTGTAGAGATGAGGTCTCGCCAAGTCGCCGAGGTGGGTCTCGAACCCGCGGGCTCAGGCAATCCACTCACCTCAGCCTCCCAAAGCGTAGGATTACAGGCTGAGCCACCGAGCCCGGCTGTGACTTTTTTCTGGTTCCTGTAGTTGCCTCTTTATTTCTATTCACTGCTCACTTATCTCATAAATTAAGGTATCCTTAATATTTTAGTAACAGAATTTTTGTCTTCATTTTTCTCTGTCTTGGATAAGAAAATACTGTTTCTTGGAATTATTTAACGCGTTTAGGTTGTTGATAAGTAAACTCTTTTACAAACGCATAGTGGTTTTTGTCTATCTAAGAGTAATGTTCAAATGTAATTAGAGTGAAATAGCTTGACTTGCTGTTGAATTTAGTAGCAGAATTCTTTTTACTTCTTTCGCATCCCTGACCCCAGTTTCTATATCTATAAGAATATTGATCATCTGTATATTCTTTTCCAGCCTAAACGTTTCTTTTGTTTTTCATCAGTTCGGGGACCCTATCTGTTTAATCTCCCAATCTTTGAGCACAAAAAGTGCTCATTTATTTACTCAATAAATAATTCAGGATTGGAGAAGTTTCTCCATTGAATATGGGGTTGCAGCCTTCCCAAGAGTAAGCAATGGTAACGTCTGTAGCCTGTATTTTCATATATCAAATACGGACTTCTATTATAACCTGTACTTCTTGGCTGTCTTACTTTTTTTAATTGTTAGTTGGGATCTATATAGTTTTGAGAAACTGATTGTAGCAATATTAATGGTGGTCTTGGGGAAAAAAACCCAAATACCACAATGCCCAATCAATTAGGTTTCTCATAGTTTAGAGGTGGGAGTGTAACAAGAAGGGAAGTTTCTAGGATAAAAAAGAAAAGTTTATAATAGCAAGGTGCATTATTCCATTTTGTTCTAGCAATTTTTCAAATTGTTGCTAGGTAGACTCTTTAATTCTCAAGTTATCAAAGAACTGCAGAGTCATAGCTACTGAAATCGAGTGTTGGTGCCAGTAAAAACTCTTTTTACCATAAATATTTTAATGTTCTTTCTGCCCCCTATTGCTCCTGTGCCAGATAATAAACTTCTAAGCAATCCACTATTGCACAAAGATAGTAACTGTATATGGTTACACAAGTAATAATGTTATTGAGGTCTATCATAAAAATAGCACATAGCCGGGCTCGGTGGCTCAGCCTGTAATCCCGTGCCTTTGGGAGGCTGAGGTGAGTGGATTGCCTGAGCCCGCGGGTTCGAGACCCGCCTGGGCAGCGAGACCTCATCTCTACAAAATCAGCCGGGCATGGTAGCGCATGCCTGTAATTGCGGCTACCTGGAAGGCTGAGGCGGAAGGATCGCCGGAGCCCAGCAGGTCGAGGCTGCGGTGGCCGGGAACGGCCACTACACTCCAGTCTGGGTGACAGAGAGACTCCAACTCAAAAAAAAAAACAACAAAAAAACAAAAATAGCACAATTGGTAATTAAGTAAAAACACTTTAGAATTCCCCTGCATTTCTCCCTTCCTCTCTTAATCAGTGGTAACACTGAAGACTGACAAGTATCTTAAGGTAAAATAATGTGGATTCTTGTACGACTGTCTGCCATCTCTCCTATTGTTCCTTTTCCTATTGCTTGTCTAGTTGATTGTTTTACCTTGTGCTTTAATGTATTACATTTTCTTTCTTATCTATACAGTCTTTAAGGACCCTGATAGGAACTTGATTCCCCTCTGGTATTATAAAATTTGGACAACTTGGGATCTTCAAAAGGTTTTTACCATTTTTAAACAACCTAAATCTGGAATGGTTGAAAACAAATGGAGCTGCCATTTGCCGTGGTTGTCATTTAAAAAAAAAATCACTATAGGGAAAAATGGAATTGAATGTTCTCTATTTTGCTCTACTTTAGGTCAAATATACTTTATATATATAGCATTGCTCTATCTTGTGGAGTCTCTTTATCTCATGGTAGTGAAAAAAACTGACCCTTTTTTAGATGATCTCAGGACCCTCAGGATCTCATCATGTCTAGGAAAAAAGATTCTGAACCCTTTGAACTATAGCAACCTGTGTGCAACAATTTGTCATCTTGTTAAATGCAGGTTTTCATTTTGGAGAACATTTTCCCTCATTAGCATTATCTTACACATGCAGTGTTCCTGTGGATCCGCAGAAAATTGTATAAAATTGCACATTTCAAGATTCAAGAATTAGTCAGGAAAATGTGTCTTAACAGAAAAAAGTTAGCAGGTTTTAGAATCAGGGAAACTGTGTTGTATTTTTGTTTATCACTTGTAGCCTTGTGTTATATATTTTTTGAGTCAGAGTCTCACTCTTTACCCAGGCTGGAGTGCAGTGGCACACTCATGGCAACTGCAGCCTCTACCTGCTGGGCTCAGGTGATCCTTCAGCCTCAGTCTTCCAAGTAGCCAGAACTACAGGTGTATGCTACCACGCCCGGCTAATTTTTGATTTATTGTAGAGATGAGGTCTTGCCAAGTTGCCTTGGCTGGTCTTGAACTCATGTGCTCAGGCTATCCACTCACCTTGGTCTCCCAAAGTGCTGGGATTAAAGGCTGAGCCACCGAGCGCAGCCAACCTTGTGATCTTTTAATAGGACTCTTGAGCATCTTATCTTTCTTGTCTCTAAAATGAAGATAGCTATGATGCCAGATTCAAAGTCCTAAGACAATGCCTAGTGCGGTGATTTATTCCTACTTGGTGCTCAATAAATGTTTGCTAAGAACATAGAGTTGGGGAAGGGTGAACAGAAATAGAATAAGATGTAGTGACATTTAGGGACTAGAGATAATTTAGGATCTTTGCTGCCATCAGTAATCGGCAAAAAAATTGTTACTGAAGTATATTAAAATATGACTACATACTTATGATAAAGCTACATTTGACATCTGTCCTAACTACATTTTTTGAGAGTAGTAGTTACACTTTAACTTGTAAAATATGCATGTAAACAAATTTAAGTAAGAATCACTGTTTAACATATATATAAATAATTGCATGATAAAGGATACTTACATCACACTGATTGTAGAACAATTGATATTTTCCTCATTCAAATATGTTAAGAAACTTGAACCTCAAATATGTTTTTCTACTGCATACAATCCATTATTCTTTACATGTTCTTAATTGTTCCAATTTTGAACTGCGTATAAATCTGTCTTAGCTGAGTCTTTTCCGCATATCATAATACCCTTTTCAAAACCACACCAATAGTTATTAAATTTTTGGTTAAATATTCCACTCTTCTTCCCCTGACCGAAAAACTGCCTTTTTTATAACCTCTGATTACTTTAGCCAGTTTTTTTTTTAGTTCCACTGAAGAAGTCTGTCTTGACTTATACTAAAAATAAGTCTAAGTGTCATACTATCATTTAATCTTTTTATCTTACACATGCTGTGTATCTCAATCTCTGAATACTTCTCTGAGATTCAAGGACTACATTTTTGCCAAGGTGGGGAGAGGAGCAGTATAATTAGGCATGGTGATGAATCAAGAAATCAGACACAATTGAATTACACAAAAGTCCTCTGATTTCTCTTTTAGATTTCTGGTAGAAATGACTGAAAGCTTCTTAACTCTCAGTTTTTTGTTTTTTTTTAGTATAGAAAAGTAATTTCCTGTCTATTAAGTTAATTTCTATTTCTTCAGTGGAGCCATCCAGAAAATTGGAATTATTCAAAACTATAGAATGTCAAATTAAAAGAGAACTTCAAGGGCATAAAAGTCAATCTGGCCCTAAAATGTTCTGCAATGTCTTCAGAAAGTTGCTGTCCAGTGATGTCAGACTTGCTATTTTAACAGCCTGATTGTTAGAGAAATTCATATTTGCATTCACTGCAATATCTCTTTAAATGCTCATCATTTTGTTTAGCTGCTCCTGTTTATTTATCAGGCATATTGTGACTTGATTTTAGATGTATCCACGTTATTTGCTTTCTCCAGAAAGCAATCTGACCTTGCCTATTTTAAAGTAATAACAAATAAAAAATGATTTGTTGTTCTTCTTTAGAGATTTGGATTAGAATGACTCTTGGGATTATTGCATAAAAAGGTTAATTATTATTATTGCGATCAAAGAAAGTTAGAATTGAAGTAACTAATCAGTTATACAGTTACAGTCTCCTGAAAGACTCTCTAGGGTGCTCTGCTTGTTTAATGAAAAACTTAGAGACATGCTTT